GTTTACAGGCTTAGCACCAGTTGCCGCTGAATGACTCACTCCATTTCCAGTTCTAGTGACGACAACAGGTCATCCGCTTAGAATAGGTTTATTGTAGCGCCCCTTGGGCACTGTCAGTCCCCTTTGAACTCAGGAAAAAAAAACCTAAAACAAACTCGTCAATTTCAACTGCACTTTGACTTCATTTGCTTCGGGTGTCTGGCTGGCCAAAAGAGCGCGAATCGAGAGTTTGTTTTAAGTTAAAAAAACCTCAGTTCAAAGGGAAAATGATAATAAAATTTTCAAAAAATAACGATATGTACAATATAAAAATTGAAGTTTGCAGTTTGGTAGTTTTCGGGGGCATGAATAATATGTCCTTCATAGCAATTGAAGAACTTTGATATCGGCCTGACCTTGAAATTATTTTCCTGTTGGGTAAATTTCGGTGTGCTCTAGTTGCTGGTTGTCAGTCTATCTGGCCAGCTGTAAGGGGGCGGTCGCACAGTTCCTACGTGTTTTTCAAAGGCTTACCATCGTTGTCTGGACTAAGAGCTGGAAAAGATGAATATATATCAGGAGCAAGAAGCATTCAATGGTAAGTCACAATCAAAACTGTCAAAATACTATTGAATCATGTATCATATTGTTCTTATTAATGTGAAATTATAGGAGTAGTGGTCGACTGTTTACTATGACCTAATATAGTTTTATATATGTTTAATATGGCCTTAATATACACATACGCACGACTAATATGCAGGGTTTTATCGAAGGGTATATTTTTATTAGCTTTATAAGGGATATTTAGTGTCAGGTGACATAGCTGATGAAAACGAGAGAGGGAGGAAAAAAAGAATATCATTATCTGTTTTATGTTTATCAATGATGCTATCTTTTATAAATTTGATTATTTTTAGTGCTATGTTCCGGTATTTTTCAATCGGTTGGCATAATCAGAGCCCTTTTGGACCAAATTCTATATCAAAGAATTGACTTGAAAAATGTCCTATCTTATTCAAAAATAAATGTGTATTGTTATTTGAAAGGAATTTCTTGATTTTTATTTTAAACTCGATTAGGGTTCGACTTTTCCGGATATAACCTGGAAGAGAATTCCAGATAGTCGCATATCTTATGGAGTAGAAATTTGACCGTTGGGACTTTGTGGATTTGGGAATCCTTATAATATCCTCGCTATTTCTGTTGTTTCTAGGGGCGTTTTGGTTGGTAAGTAAATTCATTTTGAGAATATCTTGGTCGTGGGTGACCTTGAATAGGAAGTTTAGACCATTTTGAAGTCTTCTGATCCAGAGTGGTCGAAGACCATATTTATGATATAGTTCTAAATATCAGAAGAAAAGGCGATCTCGGGAACCATAGTTTTACTGTCCTGACGTTTCAAAAGCATACAAGCTTCCATCGTCGGAGGTGAGTGTGTTATCGCGCCTCACAGTATTTATAGGTAGATGACAGTCATGTCGAGACGGGTTTTGTTCATACATACGAAGTCAGGGCGACAGGGAGGAAGGGGCGGAGAGGGAGTCCTAGAGCGTCTTCTCGCCGGATGAAGGGGGGGGCGGTGGATCAGCTTTAGTGGTCACCAGCGAATGCACACAGGGGCTGTGGCGGACGGGGGGGAGGGAGGGTGACGGGAAGTACTCAATCTACATCGGGGGCCGGCGTTGAGACGTTGGTGGTCGTCGCCCGTACCTTCATTGACCTTAACTGTCGTCCAAGGCTGGCAATCTTGTTTACGCCGCAACGACTGTCCATTTTCTCGTCCGCCGGACTAGTAGATGGAACGGCTGTGGTGACGACTGCGCCTTCGTCGGAACCAGGTTGAGGGGTGGCTGAGTGTGCATCCGCCATGGACTCACTCATGTCTGGATTCGTGTTTAGCCTGGGTTCACGTCTGCTCATTTGTTTACTGAGCTGTGCTCGAAGGGCTTGATAGGCAGCGGGAAGAGCCACACAACGGTTGATGGAGGTTGTCCCTGTCTGCCAAGCCTCGATTGTTTCCCTGGTTATGCGGTCGCTTCCTCGGCCCAGAATTTTGACATGCTGAAAGGCGAACGTGTGTTCGGAATCGGCGCAGTGTTCGGCCACCAAAGACAAAGGGTCCATTCGCCTTACTGCCCTCATGTGTTCTCCAGCACGGGTCTGTAGTCGTTTGCCTGTCTCCCCAATGTAGTTGGCTTCACAGGAGTTACACTGGATCCGGTAGATGACGTTCGTGTTTTCACCTGGTGGCAGAGGGGCCTTAGGTCTCATGACCAGATGTCGAATTGTTGACTCCGGTCGGTGGGCGATGCCGATCCCCAGCGGTCTTAAGAGACGGGAGACCGCCTCAGAAACGCCATCGATGTATGGAAGCGCCCGCCATATTTTTGGCCGTTCTGTTTCCAAAATTCGGCTCAGTCGGGCCTGTCTGCTGCGTTCGATGAAGTTGCGCGGATACCCGTTGGACATGAAGAGGCGCTGGAGGTAGCGTAGTTCTGACTTTCTGTCGTCCGGCTCGCTGCAGTGTGTTTCTGCCCTTCTGTAGAGTGTTCGCACACAACTGCGTTTGTGGCACAACGGGTGCTTACTGTGGAAGATCAGGATTTGGCGTGTATTAGTGGCCTTTCTATATACCGTCGTTTTTAAGTGCCCATTTGGTTTTCGATGGACGAGAACGTCCAGGAACGGCAGTTGGTTGTTGGCTTCCGCCTCCATTGTGAACTGGATGTCAGGGAAAACAGAGTTCAGGACGTCATGGAATTCTTGGACCTTTTGCCGCTTACTGATAACGAAGGTATCATCGACATATCGAGTCCAAAATTTCGGCTTATAGGCTGCGAAAACTAGGGTCTCTACTTTTTGGAGGACTGCCTCTGCGATGAAGCCCGAGAGCGGCGATCCCATTGGCGTCCTCTTGACCTGCTCGTAGGTCGTACCTTTGAAAGTAAAGTACGTCTTCAGGCAGAATCTCAGTAATTGGACGAGATGTCTCCGTTTTATCGTCACGCCCGTCTCGTCGTACCGACTCTCGAGCAGCTCGCTGACCGTTTCGACTGCCAGGTCTTGCGGAATCGAAGTGAAAAGAGAAGTGACGTCGAATGACGCCATGACCTCGTCTTCGGTAAGTCTCATCCCTTTGATCCGCTCCAGGAACTGAGTCGCTGAACAGACCGTCGTGCCCGCGTCCGAGGTGAGAGACCTCAGGTTTCGGAACATTCATTTAGCCAAATTGAATGTAGGTGCGCCGCGCAATGATACGATTGGCCGGAGGGGCACCCCGGCTTTGTGTACCTTTGGCAGTCCGTAAAAGCGTGGTGCGGCCGCGTCTACTGGCGTAATGGCCAGTCGTAACGATTTATTTATTGTCTTGCTGGTTTGCGTGTCGGCGAGGGTCTTGTCCAGTTGCGTCACCAGCTTCCTCATCGGTTCATCGTTACATGGTAGGTACGCCTGTCGGTCCTCCAGTAGGGCATTGGCTTTCTGAATGTAGTCTGCCTTATCCATCACAACTGTGGAGCGCCCTTTGTCTGCTGGTAGAATCACGATGCTGGTGTCAGCCCTCAGTGTCTTGAGAGCACTCTGCTCGGCCTTGGTAATAGTTGCACGTGGTTTGTGCGCCATCGCCAAGGAGGTTACCTGCTGTCGAATGAGTTACTTTGTTTCGTCGGATTCCCCGGTTTGTTTGAGAATCGACTCAACCGTGTCCACGAGATTGACCGGATCGGCGTCTGTGGTGTTAAAGCAGGCTTCATGACTCAGCGCTTTCGTTTGGGCAGGGGTCAGCTGCTTAGAGGACATGTTGTGCACCAGGACTTCGTTCTCCTCTTGAGATGATTGGCTTATACTCTGGAACTTGACCGCCAGCTCGGCATCTCTGGTTGCTCGCAGTTCTAAGTATGAACCCTGGATGCCATCACTTCTAGACAAAGATCTAGTAAAACGTCTCTGAATGCCTTCTAGTTTCTTTCGGCCGTCTGAGGGCATTATGCCAAAGAAAATTTAACAGTAATCTAGGAGAGGTAAAACATAAATTTTAAACAGTTGTATTCTTAGTGCATTTAAGGTGAAATTTTTACATATGAATCCACACAGGCGAGTGGCTTTCGGTGATATTTGTTGGACGTGGGGAGATAAATCAAGGGTATTTGTATAGCTGAGACCTAAATCTTTTACCGATTGGGCCTCTGTTATTTCATTATCCTCGAATATTATGGGGGGAAGTTTTTGTGGGCCAAATATCAGGAGATGGCATTTTTCGGGTGAATAGGGCATCTGCCACTGACTACTCCATTCGCTGAGTTTTCTGAGATCAGTTTCAATTGTTCTATGAATATTGGCTACTGTATTCCCGTTATATGCATATGCAATTTTAAGGTCGTCTGCATATAAAAACGTCTTAGCTGAGACAGATATGGATGATAAGTCGTGAATATATATAAGAAATAGAAGGGGGCCTAGGATAGTGCCTTGAAGTACTCCACTGGTAATAGGGGATGGTTCTGAGACGAAGTTTCGAATTTGCACCACCTGGTATCGGTTTTGAAGATAAGATTTAAGAAAATCGAGAAGAGGTGGCCTAATTCCATGACTTTTTAGCTTTATCAGTAGTCTTTTATGGGGGACTTTGTCAAAGGCCTTTCTTAGATCGAAGTATATTGAAGCTACTGTGTTTCCATCATCTCTATTGCTGGAAACGAATTCCAAAAAAGTAAGGTGGCAGGACTGACATGACTTTTTGGGTAAAAATGCATGTTGAGAGGAGGGAATGAGGTTGGCGTTCATGAGATGATCTAGCAGTTGGTTATATACTATTTTCTCGAGGATTTTAGCTATAACTGGTGTTCGGTGAACACCACGATAGTTTTCGGTATGAGATCGGTTGCCGCTTTTAAATATGGGCGCAATGGTCGAGTATTTCCACATGTCCGGAAAACTTGCATTTGACTGGAGTTGGGGGAATAACTTAGATAGGAGTATTGGAGCATATGTCATATGCTTCAGAATACATGGTGGGATTTTGTCTGTCCCATAGGATTTGGTGTTCGATAGTTGTTTGATGGCTACTTTAACAGTTTCTTCACTAAAATGGTCGTCTGTCGGCTTTCATGAGATTGAAAGCCTGGTCGACCTATCAAGGAGGTTCTTACTCACAAGAGTTGTGAGATTTTCTTTAATTGGTCTCCTACATACCCCTTACACATTGGTTGCATACTCGATGCATGACAATAAAGCAGTTCAGTATATCTGTATGTCTCCCTCCGAATCAGAAATCTGAGTGTCTTACCATTGCTTCTGTAGTGTCTGGCGTCATGTACTACTCATTACATAATGCAATAGGATTGTTTACTGCCTACAAGTTCAATATCGTTTGTGCCATCTGTCCAAAACCGACTACTGTCTCGATCTTCTTCGCCTGAACCATGACTTAAGATGTCTGTACTGTTGTAAGAAGTAATTAACACCAGTCCCCACCTACGAGTCAGTCGTTAGCGGCGGTTTCCGTTCGCCGCTGAGATGCGACTTTTTCCGCCGATGAAAGTTTGGCCACGAGTGGAGTTTCGAAGTAACAGGAATAAAGGAACTGTGGGTTCCCGGTAGAGGGATTTCAGGATGATTTTGTAATCAACAACACCAAAGAGTCGTGAACGTCTAGGCTGATGCAA